AGGGGGGCAGGAGACGGACGAGATGGCGAGGGAAGAAAGCAAACGAGAAGAGACGGACCGAGTGGCGCGATACGTGCCGGATTGAATTTCTTTTAGCCAATTCCCCCCCCACCCAACACTGCACCACTGCACCAACCCCCCACTAGTGATGACGTACCATTACAATGTATCGCTGGTTGATGGCCATGTTTGCGTGTTTGCTTGTCGTTCGTGGTCTCTCCACCGTTTGCCTTTGTGTGTCTCTTATTTCTTGTTATTTCATTTGCTTGCGTTGTGAAGTACCAAGATTGAACCAAGGGGGTGTACCTCATTCTCTCCGACCCGTGATGGTGAATCCTAGTCTCAGTTGTTACCTCGCATAGCGCGCAGAGGGAGTGGAGGACTCCAGAATCTGTCGTTGATTTCTATTGACTTGCGGACCCCTCGGGGCCATTATATTTGAGTGTACCTTTTTAGGGTAAGTTAGCCTGCGACCACGGGAATCGACCGCGTCGAGTGTTGGATCAGTACGAACAAACGAAGGTCCTGGGTAGAGAGAGATCGGAACGGTTTTTGATTTGAGGACAACAACAACAAGTCTACGTTTTTGTTTGTTTGTCTCCCATTGTTGCATTCTGTCGTCTGCCCCTCTGGCCCCTATCCTCCACTTCTACCAGCTAGACGACCCAACCGGGGTCACATAGGAGGGGGGGGGGTTGGACCCCCTCCTGCGGTTCCTGTCTGAGATATTTTATCGCGAGAAGGGTACAGCAATCCCTTCCCTCGCGACTTACGAAGTCGATCAAGTTTACTAACAACGAGATTTGCAGCGCGTCGTTTCCAAAGGAGACCAGGATTTAAAAGCGAGAAAAAACTCACTCTGTCGTGACTCGTACCCATGGCCTGGCCCTTAGCAGGTTGCGAGGCTACCCACTAGACCACCGGGGCGACCGTATGAAGTCTAGCCATTAGTCTATAGCTTGAGCTGCATGTAGATCCCTCCGTTCGCGGTCGGGGCATACACGATCTGCGTGAACACGGAACTATACAGTAGAGGTCCCTATTTAGTGCCAGGGTGTGCGCCGAAGTTCACCGGCACTAAACCGGACACCGGCACTATTCGAAGTACAGAACGTACTTGGTATTCCAGTGTGTGCGAGCCGAAAACACCGGCACTATAACGGCAACCGGCACTATTCAACCGGCACTATTCAACCGGCACTAAACAGAGATCTCTGCCGTATTACGAAACCCAATACATCATGCACGGCATTTTGCGTGCATCATGCATTGCGCATTTCTGTCGTCCGCGGTGTACAACAGTAGTACCCATGTGCTGATGATCTGACCCTGGACTAATCACCCAAAGTCAATACAGCAGCATTGTAATGCACGGTAGCAAACAATGGCAACCTGTTCGTGTGCTTGAAACAAAAAAGCGGAAATAATTTCCGAGTTTGATTCACAATCAGAGTTTGTTTCAATTTGGATGTTTGAGCTGTTCTGTTCGAACTCGTTCGGGAGCACTTCATGACACACAACTCCCGACAGAATTTTACACAAACATGAACGATCCTTCCTTCCTTCCTTGTAGTTCCAGTGCCGCCGGCCTCCGCTCACAAACACCTAGCCCCAGCGTAGGTGGACTATCCATTGAGTGGGACCCCAAATCTCATAGCCGCAGCTGATTGATTATTTTCTTCGTCGTCATGATCTGGCTTTCAAGCACCACACAATGATTGAATGTGTGCATCATTTCCGGTTTCTTACTTCCAGCTCCAAGCAACCTGTTAGACTTGTACAACATATATGTAGACTACAATATTCCTCTTGATTGCTACTCTCATTCTTCCCGCAACAACTTGGCATGTATTCTCAACACGAACTTTTGCCTATTTTATCACGGCACCCTTCGTACTTTGAATCCTATGTGATGACCTGCTCTGTGCGTACGTATGTATATTGAAATCTTGGAATGCTCGAACAATCCTGGTGCAATCGTCACAAAATCATGGATCTGGAAATTACTCGTTCGTGCAGTGATGACGACCTTTTGCTGCTTGGAAAATTCGAAATTCTACGGGGCCGTCGGTTGGTTCACCCCCGATCCCAAAACCAACACGACCATCCCGGTACTCGCTGTTGTTCCGACCAATAATTTGTGTAGGGACCCGCGTTCCCATAGAACTGCGGTGCGGCTTTGAATCCTCGCACCTCTACTTCGCCACCTCGCAGCTCGCTACCTGTCGCCGATCGGCTCGAACAAATCCCAAGCAGCCACGCGGTACGTTTGCCTCGTCTGCATTGTACGTATGTACAAGTGGAGGCGGTTCAATGCCTCTACTAATGGCTAACGCGGATGGTGCAGAATTGGTTGGACACTAAAGCTCACATAAGGATTATCATTGTAGTTGTGGGGTCGCAGGGCCGCTGTCCGACTGATCTACCCCAGGAACCTCGTACGCAAATCAGCACCGAAGGGCCACCACCGCTTGAGGGCACTCGCTCCTGTCCTGTCCTGCGCGCAATATCTGTCAGAAAGATGATGCATCGCAAAGGATGTTTTATTTTCAGGGCGGAGATCATCATCATCGCTGTCAAGTCGCGAACGAACATGGGTCTCGGACATCATTCATTGCAGACGAACAACACCTGGTCGATACATGCACAGGGAACGATTGGTGGGTATGAGAGAAGGCCAACCGTAGCGACCCGCTGATCAAGTTCGGGGGAGGAGTATGTATACATTCTACCCATGAAGTGCCACACACTCACCATTACTTACTCTGTGCGAGCTTGGGTCATCGCTGTGCGTGTTGAAGCTTCAGTTGCCTTCGGAGCTTGATTGAGTCATCGCCGCCGTCACCGCCTCCACCGGCTGAAGCATCTCCTCGCCCACCAAGAAGTTGTACGGCCCAACTACACCCACCGCTCTCCGGAGTGATGCGGTCGTTCCAC